AAGAAAGAAAGAAAGAAAGAAAGAAAGAAAGAAAGAAAGAAAGAAAGGAAGGAAGGAAGGAAGGAAGGAAGGAAGGAAGGAAGGAAGGAAGGAAGAAAGAAAGAAAGAAAGAAAGAAAGAAAGAAAATAGCACTAAATGTAATTCCCTGCCCCCCGCCCCCTTAGATTGAAAGGAAAATCCCTCAGGACATAAATTCTGTATTTCTTATGTCTGTCTGCATTTACATAAAATGAGCTATATATTTGAAGCACATAGGCCAACATAATTTTGGAAGAACACTCTCCCCACTTGTCAGTTGTCCTGAAAGCTAACTCATAGGCAAACTTTGAAACAAGTGAATTTCTCCAACTGGTCCTTTTCTGCTGTCATCGCCCTGGGCTCGGGTACACCTTCATTCCCTCTGACCACATCATCCAGCTGCAATCTGTACCAGGCTCTGTAGTCAAGCCATATCTGACCTCTGCCTGCCCACCCACCTCTTTCTGAGCCTACGTGGGGTAGGAAAGAGGCTGTAGGCTTCACATCACCCCAGGATGTTCCCTGTGTTCTCTCAAGAGGGATTAGAAGGCCTGTCCAGGCAGCCTCCTTGGGGCTGTGAAGTTCCGCAACAGGTCATTGAAAGTGTCCTCAAAGACCTGAGTAAATTATTTTTAACAGGAAATGTCAAGTCTGACTGAATTATCACTTATTTTACAAAACAAGGTGGCATAATTTTACCTTTCTTGCAGAATGTCCTCTTAAAGGTATTGGCCCTAGTTTAGGGTACAGATGACACACATATGCTTTGGGCCTTAGCCAAAGGCAAGTTTGCAAGAGGGCTATTGAAAGATGTCCAGGATCAGCACATACAAAGAGCATTTCCAAGTGAGAAAAGCACAAAAGCCTGGGTTCAGGATGCAAATTCTATCTATCCCCGGTATCAATTATACACTGGAAGGATGATACTCCTCTGGGGAGAAGTTTTAGGCAAGCAAATACGGTAAAGCCAGGCGAGGGACACATACCGTAGTAACGGCGGGGTACTGTACCAAAGATCCATCCGTTCTGATGAGGGACGTAAGAAGGTAAGGTGGCCACAGCTGGCCTTGAAGCTTAAGCAACCTCAACAGGCAGGGAAGAGAGTGTACAGGTTGGGACAGTGCTGGAGAACTGGGCTCTCCACAAGCGCAGTTGTCACATGGCATTTCAATGTAGATTTAGGAATGATAGAAGCAGCCATCTTAGAAGGACATGCATGCTGTAGCAAGCACTAAGAAATACAAGCCAGGCAGAGAGGGAAGACGCAGCCAGGTGGATGCTTTGCAGAGGCAGGATTATTGGCAGATTGAGGTGCATCCCATGCAGGTAGGAGGATGAAGAGGGAGGTGTGTACGTGTTGCTGTTGGAGCCGGGGTCACCGGGAAATGAGAGGACCAGCTCTATGCCATCGCCAACAGAGTCATCGGGGAGCTGTGTTTTCAGGAAGTGTTTCAAGGAAGGGGTAACCGCATATTTCGACCTGAGATGTTTTTCTTGCAGGTGCCCTGATGATTAGGTCAGAGGAGGCTGGCTTTGTGGTCATCACAGGGGCCATGACTAGCAGGTTCCTGTGTATGGATCTCAGAGGCAACATTTTTGGATCGGTGAGTTTTCCTTTTTTGTGCGTTAGTTACCACTTTGTTATAACTTTATCTCTTTCTCTAAAACTTGATTAGAAAAAAAAAACATGTTTCTGTGTGGGAACTGAGCTCTGAAAAAAGAGTACATTCATGCTCTTAATCGCTGAGCCATCTCTCCAGCCCTTACTGTATTTCTCGTCAGGGCTTGAATATTTCTAACATTTACAGTGTCCCTTGTCACCACTTGCTATCATTAAGTACGTCATTCAGTCTCAGGAGGAAATGCTCAGGTTTTCACAGCTGGGGTTTGGAGCGAGGCTCCAGGCCTCTAGGCTGCCCTACCCCCTGGTACCCATTCTTGCATGGAACACAGTCCCTGGTATGCTGTAGGCTCCAGAGCCATGTCAACTCATGCTTCTAATTTATACATTGGAAAGGGTGAGTGGGTCTTGGTGCTTTCTCATTTCTGTCAGCAACTGTGGCCTTGGCTATGTCCTCTCATTTCTCCAAACTTCAGTTTCTCCCCTTGGAAAAAGTAAGGTGTAGTGGACCATGTGACCTTCTACTTTCCCTCCTATTTAATGACCTCCAATTGGTCACCTGTGCCTTCAGGGTGATGGCTGGTCCTTCGGATCACAAATCCAGGTTTTCAAAAACCAAAGGCAAAAGCATGGTCCTAATAACTTTGAGGCAAAAGTGAAGAAGGGCCGATTGGTTCAGGATTTTCTTATCGGTGTACTCTACAAAGTTTCCGAGGTGAAGTTTTCTGTTTTGTTTCCGCTGTGCACATCCTGGCGCCAACAATACCATCTGTCCAGAGCAGATAGATACCCATGCACACAGGAAGGCCTCACCTCTAGAGTTCTTTGTGCAATTTGGGAAATAAACGTAATATGTGAAGGTCCAGATAAGACACTCAACAAAACTAAGTACTAATGGGAGAATAAGGTTCAAACCCAGAATATCTGTACATTCCAGCCCTTTTTCTATTTTTTACATTTTGAGGCAGAATCTCAATGAGTCACCCAGGCTGACCTCAAACTCTGCCGTGTGCTCTAAGGAGATCTTGAACTTTCAGTTCTCCTGCATCAGTCAGCTGGGATTGACAGCTTGTGCCACTGGGCCTGGACTGTACACCTTTTTAAGTTCTGCTGGCTGGAAGGCGGTTGTGGTTTGTCTCTTTGCTGGAACTGGGATGGACTTTGAAGGGTTGAATATAAGTGAGGGTACTGACATCAAGAGATAATATAGAATGAAGACCAGGGACATTAATTTGCCTATCACATTTGAAATCCAAGTCAATCCCCGGGAAGGGGAAGGGGCTGGAGAATAGTCTAGTCCTCCCTGCAGAGAGTAGACAGAGACATAAACAGAATGAAGGAATACAAGTATGAATGAGAACGTGACACTGAACAAGAGGAGTGTCATCAGCTCTTTCTCGGCCCTGCCCCAGGAAGCTGGGCGCCAGACCAAGGTCCTCCAGACAGCGCCCTCCAGTGCCCTAATAGCTGCCACTCTCTTGAAGCTGGAACCAAGTTCAGCGCTCTGCTAAGGGGGAGGTGCGGAGCTGGGCGGAACAGCCCCCGGGAGCGGAGGAGCGGCGGCCCTCACTTGTTCCCGCCTCCCTTCTCTCCACAGCGTCACTTCAGCCAGGAGAACTGCAGGTTCCGCCAGTGGACGCTGGAGAACGGCTACGACGTCTACCTGTCGCCCCAGCATCACTACCTGGTGAGCCTGGGCCGTGCCAAGCGCATCTTCCAGCCCGGCACCAACCCGCCTCCCTTCTCGCAGTTCCTGGCGCGCAGGAACGAGGTCCCGCTGCTGCGCTTCTACACCGCGCGGCCGCGGCGCCACACGCGCAGCGCCTGGGATGTGCCCGAGAGCGACCCGCTGCGCTTGCTCAAGCCGCGCGCCACGCGCAAGCCCGTGTCCTGCTCGCGCGAGCTGCCGAGCGCCGAGGATTACGACCTCGAGGCCAGCGACCCGCTGGGCATCCTGCTCCGGAGGGACCGCGGAGTCCCTCCCAGAGGCGCGGGCCGGTGCCGTCCCTTTCCCAGGTTCGGCTAGGTCGCCGGCCGCGGCGGCCTCCGCCCCCGTCCTCCGGCCGGCTCAGCCCGCCCGCAAGGCGGAGGGCTGGGGAACCGTGAGGACGTCTGCCTCTCTCCCTTCCCTTTGGGCCTGCGGGTCACCTCGGAGGGTGTCCTCCCCCCACCCCCACCCCAGGCACCGCCATTCAGAATAAGACCCCAACAGTGGGAGGCTGGACAGTTCCCAGCACCCACAAACTCCCTGTAATTCTAGCTCCAGGGGAATCTGCACTCACACGCCCGCTTCCACACACACAGACACGTCATTTAAAAGGTTAAACTGTTTTTTTATAACCCCAACAGGTAAACTAGTCACGTGGCTCTTTTTATTTTATTTCGTCTTACTAACAGGTAAACTCGACACTTGGCTTTTTCACTAGCCTGTCTCTTGCCTAGCATGCGGTGTTCAGAGTGCACACCTTGAACGCAGGGCTGAGGCTATCTCCACAGCTCTTGTTCTGTTCCGGGACCCACATGAGTTTTTGAGTTTGAGCGCCTTGACCTTCGCTGGGCAGGACAATGGAAACACCGATTTCTTCCCTTCCGGAAGAGCTTTCAAAAAAGGTTGGCAGGGAGGCTGTCAGGACAGACACCCAAACGCCCTGTGAACTGAAACAAGGTCCACGAGGCTCAGCAACCCTGCGGAGGGAACACCCCTGGCCAGGTTCTCAGAGCCAGGGCTGACCCTGCTCACTTCCCAGCTCTCTGGGATAGAAAGTCCTTTTCTGCCCTGTTGGTGACTTCCTGAATTTGCTCTGGCTACCTTGCTAGGGTGTTTTGCTGGTTGTTCTATCTGTGTGTGTGTGTCTCTCTCTCTGTCTCTGTCTTGGTCTGTCTCTCTGTCTCTCTCTCTTCTGTCTCTCTCTCAGCATTTTAATAAGAGCCTCTACTAACAGGCTGAATTGGAACATATTCTAGGTGAATTGTGAAAATGTGCCTGGAGAGGAGGGGTTTACCTGCGGCTGTTCTAGATTAGCTTTTCTGTGGACTGAAAAGAAAAAAGAGGAGGGGTTTACCTGGGGCTGTTCTAGATTAGCTTTTCTGTGGACTGAAAAGAAAAAATGTCTTTTTTTTTCCTCCTGCTAAATGAAATGGGATCAAGAGCTGGCTGGCTAGAGTCAGGAAAGTCTTCCACGGGGGTTAACCAGAAAATGGCAGCTACCCTTGAGAACTCCTAGGGCATTAAATGAAGACACTTTTCAGTAGTCCCAGAAACCCCAGGGCTGTCTTGGGGTAAGCATAACCTCACAGTGAACAACAAGACCTGTTGGGCAGACTTTAAGGCTCGCCCGTCTTCTGAGCCTTAGCTGGTGGTCAACAAAGGGTCCCCCCTTCCTACCTCTATTTAAACGAGCACCTGGAGAGCAGAATGGCAGCAAATGTGTGTTTTCCACTGTCTTCCTGGATCCGTTGTTCTTGCTTATCAGAGGAACAGCAGTCTGCCTGAGGGAGCACCGTCCGCTCTGCAATACTAAAATCGTGCAAGGCAGTAGATGACCAAACCTTTCCTGGTTTTCATTTCCCATTGCGGTGTCATGTGTAATGCTGTACAGTAGCCACCAGAGACTCTCTGCCTGACAGAAGTGTGTAGAAAACCCCAGAAAGACCTGGATGGAGTAACAAATGGGTTGTAAAACCACAAGCCCAGCACCACCGTGGGGCTTTCTTCTTGGAAGAGACGGGGTAACCTTGTGATTTCTTAGGTCCCTTTGCATGTGGCAGTATTTATTTATTTATTTGGAAGATTTTGCTTATCACTCTATATTTATAGTTATTTATAAGATGTAACCCCTACTTCTGCCCTCATGTTTTAAATAAAAACAAACTTTCTCTTGGCTTCTGTTTCTTATCCTGTCTGTATGACTGCATGAATGCATGCTGAGATCTGAGGGTAAAACTGGAAAACAGAATAGGAGAAGGAAAAAGAATTCTCAAAGTCAAAATTTCTTCCACTTACAGGCACACCCAACGATTTTAACCGATCAAAAATGATAAAATGTTATCAATATTGGGTTTCTGATTACCCAAGTGATTCCTTGAAAGAAACTCTAACTGGGAAAAGACACACTGGCCTAACCACACAGAAATAACCAGATATGCATATTAGCTTTCCATCACTCTCAACAAATACTTGGGCTGATCAACTTATGAGGAGGTTTGAGTCACACTTCTAGTCCACAACCCAGAAGACTGTTGCCTTTAGGTGTGTGGTAGAGTCAGCACATTGCGGTGGGAGGCTGTGGCAGAAAAACACTAGGAAGAAAGAGGCTGAGGCCCAGCTAATCCCCGATGACCTAGGGACCTCTCCCACCTCTCACCAGAGCCACCAACTGGTCACCAGGCCTTCAACACATGGTGGGGGGGAGGGGGTAAGCTACAAATACAGCATGTGCTCTATATGTTTACAGTGTCACTGTCCGTGAGATATGACACTTTTCTTGGGGAGTCATGAACAGATGTCTCCTCACTCCAGTTAGGCAAAGGGAATCAACAACCGTTCAAAGTACAGATACTGTCAAAAATGAACCAGGCGGCTCAACAGGCTGGGGAATGCCTCTTCCAGGCAGCCCAGAGGGTCTATTTTCTGAGCCTGGGGAGTTGTTAGGACGACCTGCTTGGAGATCTTTCATGAGGATGAAGGATGTGGCATCTCCTAAAAAAGCACTTTATCCCAATGCCATCCATACACTGAGGGGCTATTTTTATGCAATATTTGCATGAAACAGGACAGGCAATGTTGGAGCCTGCTACAGTTTAGATCTCAATGTCTCTAAGGACCTAGTAGAAGGTGGTGAGACCTTTAGGAGGTTTTAGGTCATTGAAGCCGTGTCTTTGAAGAATGGTGGACTCCAGGGCCTTGCTTTCATGTTTGGCTTCTTAGCTTGAGGAGAACAGTTCCCTCACTACAGACTCCAAACCATAGGGTTATGTGGTCATGGGTTGACACCTCTAAAACAGTGAGCCAAAATGAAGACTTTTCCTTTGTAAATTGATTGGTTCAGGTATTTTATCACACTAACACAAAACCAGCAGGCCTGTCGAATTTTTTCAGAGTGGCGAGTGTTCCGTCTATCCTTATGTAGTCAGCTGATCATTAAGCCCGAGCATACTCACGGAGGAAGACCCATTTCACTTAAGCTATGACTTACATTAACAAGGTGGAGACACACAGAGGCATTTAACTCACAAGCTTCATTACGTATAAATGTAAATATGCATACATGCAAATATATATAAAATATATTTGCCTCTTCCAAAAGAAACAAACCTTTTGGACACAGTTTGAATTGAAAATGACACTTATTTTTAAAAGTGTACAGGGGGCTGGAGAGATGTCTCAGCAGCTAAGAGCACTTGTTTTTTAATTTATTATGCATATAATGTGTCTTTGCATGTACACCTGCATGCCAGAAGAGGGCACCAGATTTCATTTTAGATGGTTGTGAGCCACCATGTGGTTGCTGGGAATTGAACTCATGACCTCTGGAAGAGCAGACAGTGCTCTCTAGCCCTGAGCACCTGTTCTTAACCATACTGTTTTGTTCCCAGCACCCACATGGCAACTCACAACCATCCTTAACTCCAGCTTGAGAGGATCTGGAGCCCTCTTCTGGCCACTGTGAGAACCAGAAACACACATTCATGCAGGCAAATACAGTGTACACACACACACTGCAGGCAAACACTCACACACATAAGTCTTTGAACAAACAAAAGGGGTAGAAAGTTGCCACAGCAGTTAAGAGCATGTACTGTTCTTGTAGAGGACCTAGGTTTGGCTTCCAAAACCAATATGATGATTCAAAACTATCCTGAATTCCAGTTCCAGGGGACATCTTCTGACCTCCATGGGAACCAGGCATCCACGTGGTGCATATATGTACATGCAGGCAAAACCACGTAACATTAAAAAGTCTTTAAGTGCACGAACAACTGGGCTATTTGTTTGTATAGAACAGGATAGCCAAGTTACTCTGGAACCCACTGGGACAGTTGAGGAAACCAAGCAGAGAATATGTAAGAGAGGGTCAGCAGTGAGGAACTGTCGGTATCTGTGAGGGAAAATGTGTGGGCCTCTCAGCACTTGGAGCTCATCAGCTGGCAAGCCTAGTCTTCACTCCTCAGATTACCCGAAGGAGACATCTAGTGCTGGCATAATAGGCTAAGTCAAGGGAGTTGAGTGCCGACAGTGGCACAGAGCAGCAGCATGGGCTTGAGGCACCACTTAGGTCACACAGGGTCTGGAACCCCAAGACCCTGTACAAGAATGAGAAGAGTAAGACTCCCCGGGTGGTGTGGGGGTGCACGCCTGTAACCCCAGCATCGGAGGGGGTGAGACAGAAGCATCATGAGTTCGAGGTCGACCTGACAATCACACTGAGACTGTCTCACTGCCCCCCCCCAAGATTTCCCTGTGCCACGGCGCCTGCAGAATACTGAACCGACCAGAACACCCATGATAAACAAAAAAAGGTGCTTTATTTCGCCAATAGAATAGTGGTTACAATTAAATAAATCCGTACATTCCCAGGTAAATAATGTCCCAAACAACGTGTAAAATGAAGAATACAGACGGCTGGGTATTTATGTACATTTGAAAGGTATCACCACAATACTGCCACCTCACACACTCTGGGGAGAGAGGAAAGAACCGGAGAACTCACTGCAGTGCCCTCTGCCAGGGGCAGCACCGAAGAGCTGGCTCAGGAGGGCTTTGCTCACTAGTTGGCTTTCTCTTTTTAAATGGGCAGTTTTGTTTCCATTTCCCCCTCCCCAAGTGCTGAGGATGGAACCTAAGGCCCGTACTGAGCAACATACGACACCTCCAAACCCCTCAGGTTTCTGTAACACTTTCCTCTGGTGCTCAAATTCTGCCGTGTCCAACACTGGCAGAAAAAGCGGGTAGGTGGGGTGAATACTGAACTTTTACAGTCGGTGTAGACGACTGTCAAAGGAAAACGCTGACCTCGTGGGAAGGCGGCCTTCACTGGACACTCGGCCCTGTGATGAGAGAGCCATGCGGTCAAGATGGTCACTCAAAACCGACATGTGCAACACATCATTCAGATGCAGACTTCCTTAAACACTACGGAAATATTTTGGTAAGAGAATAAGATGGAAGGTGGGGAGAGGGGAACTTTCTACTTTTTGCTTGATGTTTTTCATACCCGAAATTGCCAAGAAGAATCTTTGTAACAGCTCTATATATGCAAATGTGACTAAATCTGCCTGGAGGCGCTGAAGATGGTTAGGACGCTGCAGCTCAGCAGGTGCCAAGATGTCTGCTAGTCCGCTAGTCCGTCTCGGGTAGCTTGTCCAGGGGGAGACAAGAAGGATGACTTTTGAAAATTATTGTTTTTTTTTTTTTTTTTTGGCTAATACTGAGAAGGCAAAGAAGCCATTTCTTCTCACCTGATCTTGGAGCAAAGATACACTTTGACACTGCTTTGGGATAGCTTATCCATTATACATATTTTTTTTTTTCTGTTGATTTTTATAGTTTTTTAAAATTCCTTTTAACATGTTCAAAATGTAACATGTTATCTTCTAATCTTAGGGATGGGAAAATGCAGCCTGGTACGAGGAAATCGCTGCCAGGGAAGCACCAGGGGCTCAGGTAGGACAAGTGTAAAACTGAATGAATCCAGCCCACCATATTCGCTGTCATAACTGTTCTCTGAACCACATACCTGCTACCAGAGGCTTGAGGCGGGTGGGAGGGGGAATCCTCAGATATGGGAATAGAAACAAAACCCACCTTGGGCTTGACCGAAGTCTCCTGTGGCAATTCTTGCCCCAAATGCTAACACGAGCTGAAGTTCTTTGTCTCCGATAGGACAACTTCTCTGCAGCCTCCTTAATCATGTCCTTGAGTTTCTTGGAACACGGCCATACTCTGGACTCATGATGTTGGCAATGTTTTTATTCACATGGATTTGGGGTCTCAAGTAAAACCCTAGTCTTAGACCACCAGTACCCAGAGTGTTGGCACCAGCTCCACAAAGTGTCCAGACACAGGAAGGACCTAGTGCTTTATTAGCTGGGTTGTGGCAAGCCTTGACCTGTGCCTTCCTTTGCAGGTGGACTGCATTGTCTCTGCTAGGTTTCTTGGGTTTGACGCATACTTGGTTCAATAAGCACCCCATCCCACGGGCTGTCCCTGTCAGACTCCTCCACAGATGGGTACTGTGTTAGGTTTTTCCCATCTGATTCCTCTCCCTGAGACCGTGCCATGAGCCTGGCATTTTCAGTTCAATTAAGGATTCCTGAGTGGCAATCAAAATCCCTTTCCTATGGCGCCACCTGGAGGAAAGGAGGCCAATCCATCTTTCCTTCTGGATACCTCTTTGGGATGCAGGTCAATGGTTACTTTAGGGTACTTCCCAAAACTGGGAAGTCTTTACGCTTAGGGTGGTTTTGAAGTGAGGATGATTTTGAGGTTTGCTCTTTATTGGTTTGCCTGGAAAGTTGCTTTTGCCATCTGCTCAGAGGTTCCTTAATGTGTTTTGATCAGGTGGTATGTTCGTTTCTTCCCCCCAGGCTGATTTGATTATTTTTTGTGTGCATGTGTGCGCAGGTACCCGAAGAAGCCAGAAGGGGGCACTGGTTCTCTGGTGCTGGAGTTTCAGGCAGCAGTGAGCTGCCCAGCATGAGTAATGGGATCTGGACTGGGGTCCTCTGTGTGAACAGGAAGTACTCTTAACTGCTGATCCAGCCCTCCAGTCCCTCATCTGTATCTTGAGGCCTTTAGAATAAAAAAGTTCCCAAGAGCCGATTTCCACAGGAAGATACTTTAGTGCTTTGTCATTTCACTTTACACATACTGGTGACAGTAAGAAGACTCAGTTCGAAGGACTTTGGACACTGACAAAAAATCACTGCAAATATGCAGCGAATTATTCAAACCATTCTTTTCTTGCAAGCACTTGATTAGCTAGTGAAAAAGCATACAGTCACTTTCAAAAGCCAGTACCGTCAGCTAGACATCCATCCAAAAGGTCATTGAAAGGAAGACTGTAGAAAAAAAGGCTATTATTCCCCCTATGTGCAATGTGCAACGCTGAATGTCCTCATAAATTAATAATTCAGACACATAATGGAACGGTGACAAGATTACTGTAGGAAATGGCGAGTGTACTCAGAAAAGCCGGTTGATTTTGGGTGGCTTTCCACTACCGTCTGACACAGCCAGACCCCAGTGGGGCTTTAGCACATGGATTCTCAACTGCTTCTGAAATGGCAGGAGCAGTGGATGCAAACACAACAGGCCAAGGCACTCCCTTCAGAAGCTCCAGAGTGGAAGCGTTTTAACCTCAGTGTTTTTCGGTCACTCCATTCAGATGCTCCTGGAGGTTCATACAGACACACTGAATCGCTGGTTTGTGCCCTTCCTCGCAGTCCACGATGAAGACACTAATTCCTGTATTGGCGCTGACTGACGAAAGTTCAGATTTGCCTAGTGTTGCTGGCAACGAGCATTTGAGGTCACTCAGGAGATAACCAAAGAGGCTTTTCATGTAACCTCCGTGGCTCACAACTAAGATGCTGGCTGCTAAATCCGGGGCGACTCCATCGGGATGCAGCTCCAAGCTGCCACGTTTTCCTACAGGGAAAACCTCCGCCAAACAGCTCCCCAAAGAGATGCCTGGAGTTCTGGGGAAGCTTTCTCTCTGGCCTGTCTTGCCCAGGATTAGCTGACAAATAAAGTCAAAGAAATCTTTTCCACGAATTTTTACCTACAAGAAAAGAAGTAAAAGAGGAAATAAAGGAAGTTAAGGACGTACTTAAAATATTAGCCTGAAAAAAAAAAAATATATATATATATATATTAGCCTGAAATACAATTGACCATTAAAACCCTAAGATTTCAAGCTGGGCAATGGTGGCGCATGTCTTTAATACCAGCACTCAGGAGGAAGAGGTAGATGGAGCTCTGAGTTTGAGGCCAACCTGGTCTACAGAGTGAGCTCCAGGCCAGCCAGGGCTATTTGACAGAGAAACCCAGTCTCGAAAAACAAAAGAATCCCAAGGTTTCGTTGTTAAAGACATGAAGGAGGAGGGAAAAGGGGGGCTTTGGAAATGCCTCAGCTGGCAAAGCCCTCGCTAGGCATGAAGAACAGAACCCTAGGGGTCCAGAGGCAGAGCCTGATCCACTGGCTGCCTCCACTGCCTGTACCTGCACGGCCTACACCAGCACCTTGTTTTAAGTTTTTCTCAGCAGTATCATCTAAGTATCTACGCAACATCATCAGGGATGGCTACTTCCTCACAGTGACAGGGGAATTTGAAAAAGGAGGTCGGGAGAGTTGTTTTCAAAGCTTGCAAACCATTTGGCTTCTAGTTTACAAACATCTAGGGTGCAAAACCAGTCAGAATTCAGCGACTGGGTCACTGGCAAGTTCACCAGTGGCTACTCAGAGGCGGGCTCCATACCTGCTCCAGCGTCTCTCCTCCGGGTGGGGTGAACACAGGACACTCCTCCCCAGCAGCTTTGGCCATGGCCCGAAGCTCGCTCAGCGGCTTGCCTTCTGCGACCCCATACTTCTGCAACAGTCCAGTTAGACAAAGTGTGGCTTACAAATCCGCCTAACACCGGAGGCCTGGGAAAACCTGACCCCGTCCCAGGAAGGAGCTCATCTGCCTTCCTTGCCTTATTATCCTGCCTCCTTGGAACTGCCACTGGGACTCGCTCAACAAAGGCCATGCCCTGGAGCACAGTAGAAACCTCAAGTTGGATGCTCTGTGTGCAAGCAGCTGTGGGGAAGACCTTCCCGAGGCTAACCCAGGCTGATGGTGGGGCTTTACCAGACAAAGGAGGGATCTGCCCAGTTCTGGGGATAGAGAGAAATGTGTGCAGGGCAATACAGGGGCCTGCCTCGCGACCCAGCATCACACCCGAGTCTACGTTGCAGCCCTGGTTCTCAGGTACAGAGCGGGAATTTCCTTCTGCCAAAGCTTTGTGTGTATGAGAGGATGCATGCAAACTGAGAAAGGCAGATCTTTTAAGACATTCTCAACCCCACACCCAGGACACAGAGAACCAAATGAAGGCGAGATAAGCACAGGCCCCAAACCCTACTGTCCTCCATCCTGAGCAGCGTTCAGCTTGGAGATGTCTCCGTCTGCTCTCCATCTGCCTGGCCCACTTGGGACAGACAGCGAACACAGTGGAGGGACCACCAGGCCTGCTAACACCAGAGACAACCAGATGGCTAGAGGCCAGCGTAAGAACAATGAAACTCGGGGCCATATGGTACCACCGGAAACCAGCGGTCCTACCTCAGCAAGCCCTGGAGATACCATCACACCCAAAGCCCAAGAAGATGATTTTAAATCTGAGGTTATGAAAATAATAAGATGCCAATCCCTAACACTATGAGGGATACTCTGCTAAGCTTGCAGAAAGGAGTTGTTGGACAGATGCAGCAATGATTTAAAACAGATGCTTCGTTTTGAGACTCACAGCGAATGCTGGGTGATAAGTAGGCAGGCTTGTGGAAAAGTGGGAGGAAGGAGAAAATAACCTGGAGGTGACAGGAGCTCCACAAGAAGACCAACATAGCTGGAGTCCAGAGGGGCTTGCTGAGGCCGAAGCTTCAACCAAGGACCCTGCATGTACTGGACCCTAGGCCCCTACAAACATGTAGCTGATGGGCAGCTTAGGCTTCATGTGGGTCCTCAAGTACAGAAAGCAAGGACAGCATCTGACATGACTCTCTTGCCAGCTTTCTCATTGCTTTCTTCTGGTGGGACTGTCTTGCCAGGCCCCAGGGGAAAGAGGACACCCTCAGTCCTGGTGCAACTTGAGGAGCTGGGGTGGACGGGAAGGGGGCTCCCCTCCTCTGAGGAATAGGGTAGGGGGAACAAGGAGGTGGGACTGGGAGGGGAGGAGGGACGGGGCTACAACCAGGATGTCAAGTGAATACAAAATAAATAATTAAAATAAAATGCCTTCACCAGAAGGAAGCATCGCTGACAGGGATGCTGCTGCGCTTGGAGTTGGGATTATAGGGCATAAAAAACAGACAAAAACAAACAAAAACACCCACACTCCAGTGAGGAGCAGGAGTGGGAAGGAGAGCCCTTTGCCTTCACTTTAAACTTCCCCATAGTGTAACAAGTTTTCACCAGTGTGATCTGTTAGAATTCCACACTTAACCTCACAGTTAGATAGGGTGCGCTGTGGAATATGTAGCATAAGAGTCCAGTAGACTCCCCCTCTTCCTGCCCTCTCCCCCATTTCTTCCATCCTCTCCTTGATTCTCCTCTCGGTGCTGAGAATTAACCATTTCCGCCAAGTACTTTATCACTAAGCTATTATCGCTAGATCTTGCTTTTTTTTTTTTTTTTTTTTTTATTTTGAGATAGGGTCTACAAAGCTCAGGCTGTCCTCATATTAATAATCCTCTTGCCTTCACTTCCAAAAAGCTGGAATTACAGACGTGTGCTACCATGCCTAGCTACACAGATCCTTAACATACATTAGCTGATTCTAAATTCCCAAGAGGGGCTGGAGAGACGGCTCAGAGGTTAAGAGCACTAGCTGCTCCTCCAGAGGTCCTGAGTTCAATTCCCAGAAACCACATGGTGGCTCACAGCCACCTATGATGAGATCTGGTGCTCTCTTCTGGCATGCAGGCGTACGTGCCAATAGAGCACTCATATACCTAAAATAAAAAAATAAATCTATATTCCCAGGAAAGGGCTGGAGAGATGTCTCAGCAGCTAAGAGCAGTGGCTGTTCTTCCAGAGGACCCTGGTTCAATTTCCAGCACCCACATGGCAGCTCACAACTGTTTATAACTCCAGTCCCAGGAGATCCGACACCCTCTTCTGGCCGCCTCAGAAACGAGGCTTGTGGTACACAGATATACATACAGGCAAAACATCCACACATAAAAACACATTCATTAAAAATAAACTCCCAAGAAGGCTGCAACTGTGCTTTAGCCGAGCGACGGCTCGCTGTGAATCTGCAGCAGAAAGTAACACAGGGACAGCTTACCCTTTCTCGAAGTCTGGGGTCACACTTCACTGCCATGTCTTTGCAAAATCTGTTTTTCTCCAAAATGCCATGTATGGTCTGAAAACCAAAAGACAATTTTTTATTTTTATTTTTGTAAGAATGGGTCACCATGAAGTTTCAAAAGCGGGTCGTGTCACTTAAAAAAAAAAAAAATTAGTAGCAGCAGTTTTGCTGTTCGAGAGTTGTCTCTCTGGCCGAGGCTGCAGTGTGGGGAGCAGAGCACCAGCCCAGCACACACGACACCCAGGGTCTGTGGCTTCTCTTCATGACTGACTGGTATTTACCGATATGTACGTCTAGACAATCACCTGCTTTTATAAAGGCTTATTAGAACCCAGCCACGTGGCCTGCTTATTGATACACATTCGTAAAAGCGTGAGCAGAAGTAACCAGCTGTCACAGACACTGTCAAACCTAGAGTACTTATTAGCTTTCGGAGGAGATACGCTAAGCTTCCCTTGGGGCTGTGTGTACGTGTGTGTGGTACGCATGCTTGAATGTGCATTTCTGTTGGTGTGCTCCTGCAGGTCCTATGCTCCCCTGGAAACCATTTTACTTACTGAGGCGGTGTCTTGCTAACCCCGGAGTTCACTAGGTCTGGCTTATCCAGTCAGCTACCTAACTGGATCTCTCCCTCCTCTCCGTGGCTGGGATTACCAGTGGCTGCTGTGTATGCCCACCTTTTATCCGGGTTCTGGAGATCCAACCTGGATCCTCACGGTTGTGTTTCAAGCATGCTACTCACTGAACCATCTTCCTACCCGCCTGCTCCCTTTCTAACTCTCCCTGCAGCCATATCTAAATGGCTGCTCTTTAAGCCTCGGTCTCAATCTATTGTCAGTTTTCCGGTTTGCGTCCAATTCCTGTTTCCTGGTTGTTTCCAGATCTCTTAGTCTCTCAGTCTTTCATCAAGGCCTAAGATAACATTTGAAAAGGTCCATGTCTGATGATGGGTGCAGTAGCCTAGGCTTGATACCTGAGCACTTAGGGTGCTGAGGTGAGTTCAAGGCCAGCCTGGGCTACACAGCTAGACACCACTTCAAAACGCTGAAAATAAGGTCCATGTCTGAGAACTCCTGAGGCTGGCTTGCTTATGTTATTTTGCTTGTTTTTGTTCATTTCCTTCTAGCTGATTTTGATGAACATGAAACATCAGAAACCATTTAACACCTCCCCTCTGCCCTCCATATGCTTTGTGGGTGTTTTGTTTTAGTTTTTAGCAGAGTGTGTGTGGGCACGCGCACTCGCACACTCCTGTATGTAGTACGGCATGCATGTGGAGGTCAGAGGACAACTTGAAAGAGTCAATTTGTTCCTTCTATCATGTGGGTCTCCCAGGGATTGGACTTGGGTCATCAGGCTTGGTAGCAGGCAGCTTTACCAACAAAACCAACTCATCAGCTTTAGAAGCAGATCTTTCAAGCTCAGTGTTGTTGAGATCCTGACCCATCAGCCCGAACTCACCTGCTTGGTCCTCGTGAGATCGCTGCAGAAAGCGTGGGTGAAGTGCACACCGTTCAGAAACTGACCAGCGGCAGCCGCTTGCTTAAACCCAGTCTCAGAAAGGGGCTCGTCCACTCCTTGCCCTGTGGTGGGACAGAACCATTCAAAGATGTATCTAAGTGAAGTCACGGGACAGAAGCTACGGTGATTACTGTGACATGATGTCATTCCCTCAGGCCACCCGACTTCTGAGAGGCTGATTCCAAACGCCACGACACAAGCCATAACTCTACAAACGTCTCCCTCAAGGCTGCCTGACTGAAAGGAACTCACACTGAGAGCTGGGCCTTCTGAGCTCCTCCTCCCCCTTTCACGTCTGCCCATCTCTCCACCGGATGTCCTGCACACAGGCAGGCTGTGGTCCTGCAGGCGGCACCGGGTGGCAGCACCCCTCGCTTTTCTCCTCTTCGCTGTCTAAAGGGTCAGCACTGTAATGACGCTACTACCCTCCTTCTCTAACGCACCCCTGAAAAGAACGGTGTAAAACCAGACACGATGGCTCACACCCGTAACCTCAGCACCTGGGAGGCTGAGGCAGGAGGATTACAGTGAATCAGAGGCCTCCTTGACCTACACAGTAAGCTGCAGGCCAGCCTGGACTATAGAGTAGTACTGTCTCAAAAGAAAAAATAATCTAAACATGTAAAGAATTATTAAATTAAAATGCTGTGAAGCCAGGGGAAACACAGAGCAGCGGTGAAGGACCATCCTGAAAGGAAGGAACTGAACTGCATGTCTTGTTCATTGCTGGCCTTGGAGATGCGAAACAAGCCTGGGTGACACTTCTGACAGGAGATGATGGAGGTAATATGTCGCCAGCACATGCTGGCACACATGGGTTGTTGTGTGGGACACGGGACTGGAAAACCCAACTGAACTAAAGCCACAGACTTCAGACTAATGGGGTCTCAGATCAGGAGGAAAGCCAAAAACGAGTCCCCTTGAGAAAAACCCTCTCATCAAGGGGCACTAAGCTGTCATTCACTTAAAGCAAACAGAAGGTCAGCACAAAAACTTGCATCCAGATACACACACACACACACAAACACACACGACTAATGAAAGAAAGCCAGGAAGATCACCACCTTAGAACCACTAAAACTTTAGATATTAAAATGAGCCATAGAGATTAGAAAGACAGATTCAGAATTATGAACACAGCCCACCGAAAGTAATGTGACATTCTTCTAAAGAATAGTATCTTGTTTTTTTTTTTTTAAATGAAGATGCCGATGAGGAAAATCCCTCCCTGGACAACAGTTCGGCAAAAGGGATGTTGGGGCCGCAAACATAGAGCTGAAGACATGATCGAGAAGGCCGCACAGGCACGGGGAAGAGCTGGAACATTCCGCAGATGTGTTACGGATATAGAGGAAGGCTACTCTAACGAAGCGCCTGGATCAGGTGGCTTATAAAGCAGAGAACTTCAAGGGACTGAGTCCCGTGTCAGGATGCCAGGATGCCAGGGTTCCTGGCGAGGTCCTCTGCCAAGGTACACAGCAGTGAACGCTCAGATTGCAGAAAGAGAACAGAACTCTCTTGGGTGTCACCTTGTCAGTCTGCTCTGTGAGAGATGTCTCTTGTGATGTAATCACCTCCCAGAGACACTGCGGTCAGAATGTCAGCAGGAGCATCATCGGCCTACAACCCGTATCTAACTGGAATTCCAAAGGATGAATGGAGAATATAGAGATAGGTGTGAAGGGATAGTGACAGACAGCTTTCCAAAACTGAGGAGGGCACAGAGCTAGGGATGAGGAAAACACAACGTACAAGAAGTAGGGTGAATCGAACAGGAAAACCCTTAGGCTGGAGAGATTGCTCTCCAGTGGCTGGTGACGCACAGTGGCCAACTTTGCAGGTCCTGGCTCCCTCTTCTGGCTTTCTGGGGCACTACATACGGTGCACAAACACGCAGACAAAACACTTACAGGTAAATAACAGATAAACCTTAAAAATTCCTTCTAGGGCTGGAGAGCTGGCTCGGAGGTTAAGAACACTCGCTGTTCTTTCAAGGTGGCTCATAACCATCTATAGTAAGATCTGGTGTGCAGGCAGAATGTTGTATAAATAATAAATCAATCTTAAAAAAAAAAAAATTCCTGCTAGATCCACCGAGGGAAAGCAAATAACACCAGAATCAATGAGAAGACTTAAACGGCAGCTATAGGGAGGACCTGTCGGGCATGAGACGTGGCATGGAGGCCACTCACCGCAATGCTCTGACAAAACACCTGACAAAAGCAACTCAAGGGAGGGAGGGTAAGGGCTGGAGAGATGACTAAGGAGTAACAGCGCTTGTCGCTCCTCCAGACAACCATCTAACTCCAATTCCAGGGAATCCAAGGCCCTCTGTCATGGTCTCCAAGGGGACTGCACACACGCGGTTCATAGACGTTAACACGCAGGCAAGCCACTTGCACACATAAAATAAAAGGGGGTGTTTTGACCCAAAGTGATTTTTTAAATCAGTGACTGGGCCCCTTTGAGGGTCTGCACAGAGAGACTATTGGAGAAACCCCTGCATACCAGGTCCACTTCAGAGACCTGTTCCTCCTGATCACCTACTATTTTGGTCAAATTCTGTGGTTACCATGGTCCCCTCATCTGCTAATCCCGGTCCAATTCAATTCGATTATTAGTGACACGGGCCTGACCCCCCCACCCCATCTTACCCTGCCCCCCCACCCTACCCTGACCCCCATCACATTAACAGTGAAGCAGAGCTGGGCAGCAATCTGATTAGACTGACCTTGAATGATTTTCTCCTTATTAAGTCTTGTTTCGCCACTAAAATTAAAAAAGAAAAAGAAAAAAAAAAATGCCGTTACCAAGTTATTTTTGAAAAGAGAAAAAAAAAAAAAAAAAAAACAACACAACAATGGAGAGTAATGACATTCGTAACAAATCTTAAACTTCCAAATCTAAATATTTTCTTTCCGATCATCTACCCCAACTCTGAAATCCAAATCAAGCCGCCCCAGAAGCAAATATATATGGATCAGGAAAGCAATGTTAAGTAGAGGAAAGAGCTATGAAAATGGAGATGTGTACACGTTACTTTTAGCCTCGTTAGATCAAGCACCCTGATTGATCGGGACTACTTCAAGACAGCAGGACACAACTGGGATGGCAGTTCTGTGGGTTGCTGGCCTGAACGAGCATGTGATAAGGTGTGAAAATGAGAAGAGAAGAGAAGAGAAGAGAAGAGAAGAGAAGAGAAGAGAAGAGAAGAGAAGAGAAGAGAAGAGAA